TTGGTGATGAAACCACTTACATATCCTAAACTAACTTTACTTATGTACTGCAGTGCAAAGTTTGGTATTTCTGATGGAAATGAACAAAAAACTGTTCTTGAAGGCACTACCACATCTACAGTGATGAACTTTTTCACTGCCACTATGATATTTTTGGAATTTTCACTTTCACAATTAGCTGACATAGAGTGGCGGCTAGAAAAGTTGTTTATCAGTAATGTTTTGAAATGATTTTTAAAATGACTAAAAGTCGGATTGGTGTCTCGTAAACCCTGCTGTCTGATCTGGCCAAAGAAATTTTCAATTGGGTCTTGGTTCAGTCGCCTACACTTCAAGTGATTCACGTTGCCTTGTTCCAACATCTCAAATATGTCTATAATGCCATTTATGGTGACTGTCCAGTTGACCAATGATGGTGGCCTTAATCGTTCTTCAGTACCCTCTGCTGCAGTTTGATTACACTTTACAACAAATTTTAGTTTTTTAATTGTATCTTGTGGGAAAAGTGCACTTCTTTGTTAATTTTGGGGCGCTGAATCCAAAAATGACAATGAAATAAAAAAATTAGTTGCGGTTTAGAAAAAAAACTTTTTATTTTTAAGGATATATTAAAAAAAGTAACAAGATTCATATACTTATTAGAATCACTATATGCGCTGTCTTTTTGCTGTTCTTTTATGGATCGTTTCTGGAGCATCTCTACCAAGAGTCCAACAGTAGTCTGCAAGCATGGAAGGATTCCACTTTCCCTGGTACCTTTTTTCCATTGTTGAAATATCCTGATGAAAACGTTCGCCGTGCTCATCACTTACGGCTCCGCAATTGTCAGGAAAAAAGTCCAGGTGTGAGTGTAGGAAATGTATCTTAAGAGACATATTACAGCCCATCTTTTGATACGATGACAGCATATTTTTGACAAGGGTTTTATAGTTGTCAGCTTTTCTATTTCCCAAGAAATTAGTGACCACCAAACGGAAATCATTCCAAGCAGTTTTTTCAATACCTGTTAAAGTGTTTTCAAACTGTGTATCTTTCAAAATATTTCGAATCTGTGGCCCAACAAAAATACCTTCTTTAACCTTTGCCTCACTTAGTCTTGAAAATTTCTGACGCAGGTATTGAAAAGCTGACCCATCTCTATCTAATGCCTTGACAAAGTTTTTCATTAGGCCCAACTTGATATGCAGTGGTGGTAATAAAATTTTTTTCGAATCTACTAATGGCATATGCGTATGACCTGGCTCTAGGAATTGACGAACAGGCCAGTTTTGTCTGGGTAATGAAGTGCCTTTGCCCGACTGTCCCATTCACACAAAAAACAGCAAAACTTTGTGTAGCCTAGCTGCAGCCCAAGTAAAAGTGCAACAACTTTCAAATCGCCACAAATATGCCATTGGTGCTCATCGTATTTTATGCATGTCAACAGGTACTTCATATTGCCATATGATTCTTTCATGTGAACTGCATACCCTACAGGAAGAGATGGTAAAATATTTCCAATATGCAATAACACTGCCTTTAAACTCAATGTTGAACTGTCTATAAACAATCTCCATTCTTCTGGGTTATAGTTTATATTTAAAGCCGCCAGTAAGCCGTTAATGTTACTGCAGAAAATCAAGTTATTCTCCATATTGAAAAATGGTTCTGTCTTTGTGGAGTTTACGAAAAACACATACCGAAACATCGTCTTCTAACAAGTTCCACTGCTGCAGTCTTGATCCAAGTAACTCTGCCTTACATTTTGGAAGTTCTAAATCTCTTACAAGATCATTTAATTCTGACTGTGTTATTTTGTGCGGTTGGTGGCATGACGTGCTCGGTATAAAATCAGGATCTCTTGACGTTGATGGCATATCTTCTTCCTGACGAATCACTCGATCGCCATGATCTGATTCGTTTTCTGATTCGCAAGTGTAGGATTCTGGGGGTTTTGGAATAGGATTTTCGTCACTGTGAGGCACAGGTCTCATCGCAGATAGTATGTTTGGGTAGTTAATAAGCGATTTTTTTTTCTTGGACGTACCTGTGGCTTGTCCAACACAAGGTACCATGCAAAAGTAACAATCGTTAATATGATTTGTAGGCTCTCTCCAAACCATTGGGACAGCAGAGCGCATAGACCGTTTTTTGCCATTTAACCAGCGCCTCAGACTTGAAGCACATGTATTACAGCAGGTGTGGGGTGCCCACTGTTTGTCTTGATCACCTAGTTTACAACCGAAATAAAGCTGATATGCCTTTGTTATTAGTGGAGTAATATACCGTCTCTGAGACGCAAAAGTCACATCACCACACACGTAACAAAACTGATCTGGATTGTTTACACACTTTCGAGACATCTTTCATGAACGCTGTCAGCCAACTGAGGAAAAAATGGCTAATATAAAACAATATAATGTACACGTATGTATAACGTAACACAATCATGCCGATTACATCATCTTTCCTTGCCGAATATAAAAATGTAGCACGTGCATTCTTGTGAATTACAGTATATTAACAGTCACAGCAGGAACACATATAATTACCGTATCTCTAAAACTTGAAGTAATATTGAAAAAATAAGTTTAATTCCGGTTTTAGCACATTAAAAATAGTAATATTTTGTTGATTTTATTTAGGATATTTTTTGGCTGTTGATCAGTGTTATTATTACTAAATCTGAGAGTCAGTTCACGAAGATTGTCAAAATACTCAACGAATTTTGAATCCAACGAATTTTTTATTTACAAATTTACGGGATAAACCCATTCGGTTACAGGTTGTAAAAGTACAATCTTAACCTAATAAAATTCACACACATCATAAATAAAGTATCTAACATATGAACATAAAGTTTGACTATTTACTAAATTAAAATATTAAAACGTGCATAAAAAAAGTTACAAACAAATACTAAAAAAAAAAAAAACAAAAAAAACTGAACAACTAAACAACACAGCAAACATCACCAGCAATTAAGACATTTTAAAACTTTAGCTAAGATTTCTATCTTTAAGGAATTTTTTGAGAGAGCATAGTGAAGTATTAAAAAGGTCTATATCACAGTCATTACAATTTCTCATTATCCTATCCATGCTACTATTCGAGCCATACAAAGTTCTATGCCGAAAAGGTTCAAAGGATCTTCGTTCTCTTAAATGCCTAGGAGAAACATAAAAATTTAGCTTTAGAAGCAGGTCTGGGCAGTGGTAAACACCATGAATGAATTTATAAGCAAAAACAATATCTGCTGAATCTCTCCTGGCTCTTAGGGATCCAATCCTTAACTCTTTTTCAAGAGCATTATAGTCTAAATTCTCAATAGAAATGTGTTTTTTGTAAGCTATATATCGTAGAAATTTTCTCTGAACCCCGTCAAGCATGTCCTGATAAGTTACATAATATGGAGACCACACGCTGCTGCAATTTTCTAGATGAGATCGCACCAGTGAAGTATAGAGAGTTACTATAGCTCCAATGTTAGTAAATTCAGATGTATTTCTTTTTATGAAGCCCAACATTTTTAAAGCTTTATTTCTTATAACCTCTATGTTCTGATAAAATGTTACTTTCATGGGCGCCCCCAGGGGGGGGGCAGGGGGGGCCGCGGCCCCCCTGAGATTCTGATTATTTGGTATGGTTTTTTTATATTTACTATCTACATAAAAAACAATTTTAGGATAAAAATATTAGAAATAAACTTGTAGCAGAGCAACGTGTATTGTATTCATAAACAGACGCTAACAGACTAGGGCTAATTTCGCCTTTTTTTGTTCTGGATTTTTTTAAATCTGGATTTGACGCATTTTGACAAAAATCCGCGAAATTCGCGCTAGTGTGAATGATGCCTAACCCTGGCGCTTGTGCAATAGGAAGTCACGTTAAGGTGCGTATACATATGCGAGCCGAGCGGTTCGCGAGCCGCTCGATGGTGGTTCGTTGAAATGATTTTTTTAGCGAACCTCCAGCGATCCACAGATTCAGCGCACCAAACGCAAACAAACATCGCAGTCGACAAATGCAGTATGGCTTCGCGAAACGAAAATTATACTATTTTGCTGGGTGCTGCAGTTTTAGTAATGGCTGATGTAAATAAAAAAAGAGAAAACAACGACGTTGGTGGTGTACTAATTTATTCAAGAAACACAGTGGTACGGGAATTTTAATGGACCTAAAGTCGCAAGAAGTAAGCGGACAGTATAAAAATTTCACTCGAATGACACCTACTGACTTTGAGAATCTGTTGCAAAGGATTGGACCCCATATTTCAAAACAGGAGACTTATTTTCGTACTCCAATCTCTGCCCAAGATAGGTAAGTCGGTGTACCGTGGACAGGTAGCTTTGTTTTTTAACATTTTTTTTAAATTAATATTCAAGGTTAGCAGTAATACTTCGGTATACACGTTTATCAGACATAATATTTTTTCTTCCGACCATGAATCCATAACTTTATTGAAGAAAAATAAAGTTCGCTCGCGAGCTAAAGAAAAACAACGAACCTTGTCTAAACACGTCCCAATATGCACTGCGAATTCCTTTGTGTTCGTCGAAAAAAACGACAGGCCGCGGCTCGTCGCGAGCGGCTCACGAGCTGCTCACAAGCAGTTCGTTTGGAACCATAAACCCAATTAGCCGAACAAGTTTCTCACAAGCGGCTCGCGAACCGCTCGGCTCGCATATGTATACGCACCTTTATGCTCCATGTGCAAGTGTCCGTCTACGCCGCCGCCGCGCGCCGCGGCCGTGAGTCAGCGCTGTGCTATAGTTGTCGTCAAGCGGCTAATGTGCGTATACCGCGATTTGAGGTTAGTTTCTCTTTATATACGCCGATATCTTATTTTTTACATGCCTAAGTTGAAGCTTGAGTTTCTGCTGAAAGTTATTTCATAGGAAGTAGCTTTTTCTTATTGGTTTTAATTAAATTAAACACACACAAGTTGCAATTTACATCAGGTAAAATGATTCATAAATTTGTCATTATTTTCTTATATTTTAATTAATATGTTTTTTTAGAAAAAATGGGCATTCGCAATTTTTTTAAAAGAAAAATTACAACCACCGAAGAAACCACTAATCCGTCTAAAAAAATGGGACTTCAACCAGTACATCAAGTAATACCGAGTACAAGTACAAGTAGTAGCTTGGACCAAGAAGATCAAGGACCAGACACTACAAAAGCAGATGAGTCAAACACATTATTCGGGATAAGAACAATGTTAACAGATAAACCTGTTCAAGATACCCAAATGTTGTTAAATGATGACCAATCGGACTCGAAAGACATTGGAAATTTCCTTAATAACTCATCGTCAATACCGGATAAACAAAAATATGATTTATTAATAAGTCCATATAGACCACCCCCTACCTATGACTTTAAGAAAGATGTAGAATCAAACAAACGACCATTTATTCATAAATGGCTTAATCAATATGACTGGCTAGCTTATTCCAAACTTCTTAAAGGCAGCTTTTGTAAATATTGTGTCATTTTCCCACCCACTGTTAACCACGGTAGTGCTTTAGGCGCATTTATTACGAAGCCATTTTTAAAATATAGGGATTTTCACACCCAGGCCAAAAACCACGTCAATTCAGCTTGGCATCAAGATTCAGCCATTCGGGGTAAAAATTTTATTGATATTTTGTCAAATAAAAAAAATGACTATTGGCTTCAATTGACGAGGGAAGGAAAAAAAATATTTTGGAAAATAGGAATAAAATTCTTCCAATTATTAAAACGATAATTTTTTGTGGAACCCATGATATGCCTTTAAGGGAAAGCAGCAAGAATGCTGGCAATTTTAGTGACCATTTAAAATTCAGGATAGACGCTGGTGACCAAACTTTGGGCAACCACCTGTTTACCGCTGCTGGTAATTCTAAATATACATCACACAGAATTCAAAATGAAATAATTTCATTAGCCGGAGAAGTACTGTTAAGAAGCGTAGTAGAAGAAGCAAATTCTTCTAAATATTTTAGTGTCTTGGCTGATGAGACTGCCGACATTGCCGGACACGAGCAGCTATTGGCATACGATATGTATTTGAACAAAATGATAAGTTTACCCTGAAAGAAGAGTTTCTTGGATTTGTCAAGTTGGACCGACTAAACGCTGATAGCATCGCATCTTCAATTTTGCAGTTTTTAGAAAAATCGGGCTTAAATCTTGACAAACTTGTAGGACAGGGTTACGATGGATGCTCAACAATGTCTGGTGAAATTCATGGAGTTCAAAAAATTATACAAGAAAAGTATAAAAGGGCATTTTATTTTCATTGTGCATCACACAAATTAAATTTAGTTATCAATGATGTAAGTAAAATAACGGAAATTCGCAATACTATTGGTACCGTAAAAGACATAATAGTTTTTTTTAGAGAAAGTAGTTTAAGAAGGAATCTAATTCCAAATATACCTATTCTGTGAGACTCGTTGGTCAGCCAAGTATAAGTCTTTGCGCATTTTTGCAGAAAATTTTAATACAATATTTAAAACTCTTCATGATATAAAAACTGGAGAAATTTTAATGAATTCCGCTACAACAAAAAGAGCTGCTCAGTTATGGGCTGCTACAAATTCATTTTCTTTTGTTATTTGTCTAATGGTAGGTAGTAAATATTCAAATATTTTAGAACCGGTTGCGAATACCCTTCAAGGAGTTTCAATAAATTTTGTAGATGTTTATCACCACATTAATTTAATAGTTAACAGTTGTAATAAAAATCGATTAGAAGTTGATACCGTTTTTGCAGAACTTTATTCCAAAGCAGTGTCCAGTTGTGAGACTCTTGGAATAGAGGTGGCTAAGCCACGAATTTGTGGTCGACAAATTTATAGATCCAACTATGAATCTGATTCAGCTGAAGACTATTTTAAAAAATCGATATTTATTCCATATGTAGATCATTTAATTCTTGCCTTAAAAACAAGATTTTCAAAAGAGCATGAAATTGCCTTTTCTTTATTTAATATTTTGCCAAAAAATATAAAGTCTTTAGACAGTAAATCGTTCGGAGTTAAGATCAAACAGCTGTATAACATTGAAAATTTAGAAAGCGAGTTAAATATTTGGAAAGAGTATTTATGTCAATCTAAAATTGCAGAAAATATAGCCATTTAGGAACTTATTGGACATTGTAAATTTTTTCCTGCTGTTAAAGATTGCTGCATACTTCTCCTTACTTTGCCGTGTACCACTTGCACTATAGAGCGCAGTTTTAGCACCTTACGTAGGATTAAAACATGGTTAAGAGCTACAATGGGACAAGAGAGACTTGTTGGATTAGCATTGCTGAGTATCCATCGAAAACGAACAGAAACTATTCAAAATTTTGCCATTAAAATATTAGATCTATTTTGCCAAAGCAACCGAAGACTGGTTTTTAGTCTAGAGTAATAAATGTATTTGGTATTATTAGTTATTAATATAATTATTAGTAAAATGTTATGTTATTTTTAAGGACTTACATTTTTTTCTTTTGAACCATAAAACCATAAAAACCTCTCTAGGAAGAAGTCATCTGTTTAGTTATATTTTATTTTTATGTATATTTTATTTTTGTTATCATAACGATTTTCAACTTTTAATAAAAATAACTAAATTTGAAATGCAACAAGTTTTATTTTGCCCCCCCTGAAAAAAAATCCTGCGGGCGCCCATGGTTACTTTGATATCAAATATAACACCCAGGTCTTTAACAACATTCACATTTTGAAGTTGGGTATTATTTATGTGATAACTGCTGACTATATTATTGTTAGACTTTGAAAATTGAATGTATTTACATTTGTCTGTGTTAAGGATCATTCTATTTTCTTCACTCCATTTAACAAATTGATCAAGGTCACTCTGAATCTTTAATGTTTAGTTATTATCAGAAAGAGGTAAATAGATCTTGACATCGTCAGCATAGATAAGAAAAGAACAGAATTTAAAACATTGGGCTATGTCATTGACAAAAATTATAAATAAAATGGGTGCCAAGTGCGCACCTTGTGGTACACCAGACAAGACAGCAATTGGATTTGAGAGACAGTTTTTAATTTTTACAAATTGCTCTCTTTCAGAAAGATAAGAACTTAACCAGTTCAATAAACTTCCATGCAATCCGTAACAAGAGAGCTTTTCAATGAGAATATCTATATTCAACTTGTCGAATGCTTTCCCAAAATCTGTATAAATTGAGTCAACAGATTGCCCATTTTCCAATGCCTCAACTATATGTGAATGATAAACTAAAAGGTTAGAAGTTATAGATTTTCCTTCACAGAAACCATGTTGCTGTGCAATTATAACATTTTTAAATTTTTCCTTCAAAAAATCTGCTACAAATGATTCAAAAACCTTTGGAATTAACGATATCAATGTAATGGGCCTGTAATTTTCAACATTCTCTCGATTTCCACAATTTTTAAAAATTGGAATAATGTAGGAGGTTTTCCATTTCTTTGGAAAAATTCCCAGGGCTAAAGATTTATTAAATAAAATCCATAAAGGCCTAGACAGTGAGAAAGCACAGTTCTTAAGAAACAATGCACTCACACTATCAGGACCCGGTCCCTTTGACAAGTCCAGGCTAGCCAGCTTTTCACAAATATCAGAAATTTTTATATATACACTGCTCAAATTTAAGTTTGGCGAGCTGAAACTTTTTGCAACAGTGCTAAGGCTCTGTGAAGGACTTGGTGTTTCATATACACTAGAAAAATGTTTAGCAAAAGCATTTGCAATTTCTTTGCCGCTATCAAAAGTTTCCTCATTATACTTAACAATTGATGGAATACTATTTTGATTATTTTTAGACTTAATGGACTTCCAGAAAACATTAATATTACCTTTTAGATTATTCTCAATATTTTTTATATAAAGACTATAATCTTGGTGAACCTTTTCTTTGCACAATCTGCGTAAATGACAGAATAAACCATAATCAATATTAGAATTAGTTCTCTTATATTTTGCATGCAGCTCTTTTTTTTTCATAAATCATACTTTTGAGTTCAGGACTAAACCATGCAGGAAATTTAAAATTACTTTTTATTAGCAATCTTGGCACATAAGTATCAATACAATCATAGAGAACAGCATAAAAACATTCAACATCATTATCCAATTGATCAACCAATAAGGCATCCCAGTTAAAATTAATTAATAAATTGTTGATTACATTAAAATCTACATTTTTAAAATCATAGATTTGTTCTTCAAATTGCAAAGGTTTATAAGAGCTAATATTTTGTATACTTACAACAAATGCTGGGTGATGTTTGTCACATGGCAGAAGTATATCATTAGCACAATTTACTTTAGTAAAATTAGAATTATTGGTAAATACAAGATCTAGTAAAACATTGTTACAATTTTTTATCGAGTTTATTTGAGTGCAGTTAGAAAACAGCATGGAGCTAACAAGAAGATCACCGGAGGCATTCCGTCTACCAATACCACTATCATGGAGGTTGGTTTCATCCAACATCTGAAGATGGGGCAGGTTGTAATCTCCCATGATGTACATGACATCAGAACTATCACTGAAGTTTTCAATATTGTTGCAGTGATTTTCATATTCCACCAAATTGCTAAGGGGAGGGAAATATACTGCACAGAAGTAGGTGGACTTTATTTTACCAATAGATACAGAGACCCACACCTCTTCATGCCCAGATGTCAAATTCCTCAATTCGACTTGGTGCGATTTTAAACTTTTTGTGATCGCAATAAAAACACCTCCTCCTCTGGATTTGCCTGTTGCTATGTTGTCTCTGTCACATCTAAAAATTGAGTAGTTCTGTAGCCCTAGTTCCGAGTTATTAAACTCTGGTGTTAACCAGGTTTCACTAAGTATAATTATATCATACGATGCCATGGACACATTGTTTGAAAATTCATTCAATTTAGTTCTGATGCCTCTAATGTTCTGGTAATAAATCCTAATATCATTGATAGGGTTAATTCCTGCGCCGTGGCTGGGCCTGCCTTTTAAAAAAGCGTCTACCTTGTGCTGATGGTAATGGTTGATTTCTTCTAGGGAAATTGAATGGCTTGACAATCACATTTTCAGGCCATATGTCGCTATTAAATAATGTATTCTTGACACCAGGTTTCACGGAGAGCTTAAAAGATGGCACATGTTGGTTCTGAGACGACAGTTTCTCACAGGTTAAGGCTTCAATGTTGTTGGACTTAAGATAATTTATTAATTGATCAGTTGTGGTTCCTGCTTCCAGGTTGCCTATATAACACCAGAACTGTTCCTCCGCTGCTACAATTCCAGTTGAAGTTTTGTTTGTACCCCTGACAAGAGTGTTAGAGTTACCAAGTTGTTTAGGACCTGTTGAATGTTCCGATTGCTTGATGGGACCAGGTTTAATGGAGACTGCAGTTGAGCTTGGAGGGCCATTGATAGAAACCAATGCATCATCGATAGCTTTACTCGTTTGCTCTTGTGTGATTTCATGGACTATTGGGGGCTTGCATATGTCTTCATCTCAATCTTCATGCAATTGAGAAGTTCCTTATTAGTTTCCTGGATCAAGTTAAGGTGTGAGCTCAAGGATTTGGTTAGCTCATTGTTGATCTTTTCAGTGAAGAACAACAATTTAATGTCAAGTTTATCGTGCAATAAAGAAGTGATGGATAGTGCATTCTTGTCTGAAAAGTTGTCATCCTTGTTTTTTAGGGATAAGTCTTCCAGAGATTTTTGTAATAAATTCACTGCAGCCCTGTCTTTGTCCATATCAGCCTTATTTGCCTTCAGTTGCAGTTCATTTTCAGTATTCTTTACTCTCGCCTTGAGATTTGAAATCTCCTTCTTATGCAATGAGATTTCCTGCTGTAGGGATTGAATTTGCTTAAATGCTTGTAGTGATTCCTTGAAGAGCGGTTTACATTCAGGACAGGTGTAGACTAAAGTCCTATTAGAACTGGGGATTACTTTAATTTCTTGCGCTTGTAGAGAGTTGCATTTTTCACATATCGCTCACCCAATATTACAAAGTCGTATGTGCCAAAATTGAAAATAATCTGATTTCACTATTACCAAGTCGTATGTTGTCTGAAGAAACATACGACAAATTATTGTGAATGTAACCCTGCTGGTTCTGCTTAAAAACATAATATTTCATTGGTGTATGTTTTCAAACAGACAGAATGGTACAACAAAGTCGTATGTATCACATACGACTTTGGTGCAGTATTTCCAACTAAACGTCACGGGTGGTCACGGTTCAACAATGTCGTATGTGTTACATACGACCTTGGTAGTCTGAAATTGTTCTGGTCATCAAATCATAAGGTAGTATGTCATAACTTACGGCAAGGTGCACTCGTGTGTTTAATATTTTGAGGTTATGTTTTTAATCGGGAATAGTTATTAACCTGAGGATTGACACCGCATTTTCGCTAGTAGTTCGTGAATAATGGAACAAATAGGTGATAATGAAGCGTACTGGAGTGGATACGATTCAGATATCGATAAAGAATATATTCCTCCTAAAAAAACAAGGTATGTAGACATTTCGATTCCTTTTTATATTGCTCTTTGTAAATAAGATAAGACAGAAATATACGTACTCCTATTTTGCAGTGGTACCAGATACATACAAAAGCTTACTTAATTTCGGATTTTTAGAAAGTAAATAAAACTAGAATGTTTTTTAGAATCAAGATTCGTGGAAAATTATATGAGGTAGAAGCCGACAAGACTCTGGATACAAAGACTGACGAGTGTAGTCGCAAACTCGACTGCCATAAATTTGCAAAGCCAAAAGAAAATTTGAATAACTACGCAAGGTATGCTAATTTTGATATTGTTTCTGAATAATAATAATCATAACATTAATAACTTTTTCAGGGTTGTACCTATGAAAGGTTTTAATAAAGTTAGCCAGTATGGCGAGTCTAGCAAATCAGGGCAGAATGAAAACACCGTAACAAAACAAAATCCTAATCAAACAGAAAAAGAAAATCTGCAACCATTCAATGAACAACAGCAAACTGAAGAAAATAATGAAGATGAGCGAAACAATGCTCACAAATCTGAAAATGTTACTAAGATGTCAAGAATAAGACAAAGAAATATTAAAAGTTGGGCGAGCCATATTAGAAAAGAAAGATTTGATAGAGGTCAGGAATATATTTCTGTCAGAAAAAAAATCGTACCGGCTAGAAAAATCAAAACAATAAAAGATTGCATAGAGAAATGTAAATTCAAATGTGGGAGACTAATCAGCACAGAGCAGAGAGAAGAGATATTTTCAAACTACTATAGGCTGAGTGCTTCAGAGAAAAAAATGTTTATACTACAGTATATTCAGATAAGAGATAGACCGGACATAAACAAGACCACGTGATCATCGAACGCTGTAACATTCGGCAGGGACGTATTAAGAGTCACGCAGTACATATTTTAGATAGTAGATGCTGCTTTGCGTAACTTTGTAGTAAATTAGCACAATTCGATGTGTATATGATTGGTGATGGATATAGGATCATGTGGGGGTGGGGTAAGAAATATATAATGATGTAAATATACATAAGGGTTTCAAAATTTTCGCTTCGATTTCCAGCTTCGGATGACGCCTTCTCCTCGCGCTCGATCTTATATATATTCAAAATGACCTCTTTCATTTCTGCACTCAGGTGTCTTTTTTTAGAGCGTTTCCTAGGTGGACTACAGGAGTTTACAACTTCATCGGCAGTATCTGTACTACTGGGCATTTTGCGCAAGCAGTTGATAACAATAACAATCAATAACAAGGTATAACAATAACAACGACAAACTCAACAACTTAATAAGATAACAAACGAAAACGTCCAAAGAAATATCAAATTGCAATGATGCACACGACATACGTAACACGTCTGAACCTGAATGTGACTCTGCCTTGATACGACTGCTCTGCCGCTCGGCATAGGCATTTAATTGCGAATTGACCAATGATGGCTCCTGTTTTACGTCGAGACGGCGGCGTTAGCGTGAAAATCACCCGAACCTTTTGTTTACATCCGGTCTATCTCTTATCTGAATATACTGTAAGTACTACTGACATGGGTGACCCTGAAAGAAGAAGGAAGGGAAAAGATAATACTAATTCAAGGAAAAAATGTACTCTAAGATATTCATTTATCATTAACAACAATAAAATACGTGTCTGTAAACTCTTCTATTGTGGCACTCTGGGTATAAGTGAAAAACCAATTTACACAGCCCACAAAAACAAAACAACGAACAATACTAGTTTACCGAGTACTCAAGGGAAACATCAGAAAAAAGTTACTGCTGCAGTGGATGCAGATCTTGTGCGAACCCATATAAACATCTTTCCTCGCGTGGAGTCGCATTACTGTCGAGGAAATTCTAAAAAGGAATATTTAGACGGCAATTTAACAATTCACAAAATGTACGAGCTTTACAAGGAATTTTTGAAAGAGAAAGAAAAAGAAAGGAATCCAGTGACTTTTTGTATTTATAGAAAAATTTTTTGTACTGAATACAACTTATCTTTTTATAAACCGCGAAAAGATAGATGCGACGTATGCGAGGAAGTAGGATTAAAGAGAAAGGAAAACAACCTCACTGTACAACTGGAAAGTGAATTTGAAAAACACATAAATGAAAAGAACAGCATGAGGAAAGAGAAAGATAAGGACAAACAAGGTTCAGTTCCGATTTTATGTTTTGATCTAGAGAATGTTTTGAGTTGTCCCAAAGCTGAAGTAAAAGATTTTTTCTACAAGAGCAAACTGAATGTAGACAATATGACTGCCCATTTATCTGTTAACAAACAAGTTTACTGTGCTGTTTGGTCAGAATCTTTACATGGACGCTCAGGAAATGACATTGCTAGTGCTGTTTATAAGATACTAAACCAGGTACTCTTCGACCACCCAGAGTTTGAAGAATTGATACTGTGGAGCGACAGCTGCGTTCCACAGAATAGAAACAGTTTCATGAGTTTTGCGGTTGCTCACTGTATTCAGCGCCATCCTAATTTGAAAAAACTTACCATGAAGTTTTCTGTGCCGGGTCATTCAGCAATACAAGAAGTAGACGCCATCCACAGTTCCATTGAAAGGACCCTTGCCAAGACTGAGTATCATTCACCAGTTTCCCTTTTAAGGATCTTACTTAAAGTAAATCAAAAAAAGACGTTTAAAATAATGCAAATGCAGAAAAAAGATTTCTTTGATTTCCAGTTTTATTCTTCCAAAATGACCTACAACAACCTTCCATTTTCGAAGGTATGTTGTTTGCAATTTTCAAGAGCTTTTCATCAAATTAAATTCAAAACTACCTTTACAGAAGAATCAGATTATGTTCCTATAGATTTGAGACCAAGAAATTTGCGTAAACATGTTATTGTCACAGCGGATTTTATTGCAGACATCCCAATCGAATTAAAAAAGCACGACGTTAAAGCAAAATTGCCCCAAACCAAAGTAGATGCATTGTCTTCTATGTTTAAATGGATGCCAGCAGTGGATAGACTATTTTATGAAAATGTATTTCATAATATGTGAACCCATTATACCTAAAATGATACTTTTTGTTCCGTTTTTATAAGGTGTATGTTACAAGCTGTTTTTTTTATTAAGATTTTCAGGATAACAAAGTCGTATGTTTTTTTTCAAATCGCATTTTTTATTCTGTAAAGAGTATTTTAGTGTTTATGTTTATGAAAAATAAATGTCAAGTTGCTTATGAATTGCACCCCGACTTTGATTTTGAAACAATTTTATATAAATCATAAACTTTACCTCCCAAATTTTCAATACTCTATTTCTCATTTTCGTGTTCATGTTACATACTACCTTGTAATATTGGGTGAGCGATATGACTCGGTTACATAAGTCACAGGGATAGCCAAAAGTTCTGATCTTCTCTCTATCCTCCTTAAATATACATTCAATATTGCACTTAAAGCAATTAGCCATTGAAAATTATTAAAACAAAAACAATAATAAAATTGTTTTGTTTGTTTATAAATATCTTCTTCTTTTGGAGATGTCTTCCCTTAGGGCAGATGGGAGAATGGGGTATTTTCCAAAAAAAATTTTTTGGTTCCAAATTGAAGTTTTACATCTAAAAATTATATATTGAGTAATTTTACATTTTTCTTTGAACAAGAAGTAATAAAAACTCGGCTTCAAAGTTTAAAAATAAAATGTGCCGCCAACTGTGTGACGTAATAATATCTTGCGTGACGTAGTAATATTTTCTCCGCCCCCTTCTTAGAATGTGACTACATTTGTTCGGCGATTACAGTGTGAGAAGGACAGGAGATATTCCCATTTTGTTCTACAGACTCGTCCGGAGCAATTTGATTTTTTGACAGATAATTTAAAGGTTATAACCAGTGCTGCCACCTCTACCGATTTATCGGTAGATCTACCGATTTTAGAAGAGATCTACCGATCTACCGATTCTAATGAAAAATCTCCCGATTTTTTTTGTTTCTAAATATGCATATTTTTAAATTACAATAATATGTTTTACCCTCTAAGCTACTTATAAATATTCTGTAGTTTGCTTAAAACATCCCAGTTTATTCTTCTTTTCTTATATTTAGCGACATCTAGTGGTACACGTCCAAATCGTAAAATAAATACCGATAACTGATTTCTACAAAATACAATTTATTTGGTAATTCCCCGACGCGACTCGGGTATTCCCCTGGCTAACACCAGCAGGACGCGATAGTCGATACACGATTTATATTATTAATACTCTGTTGGTGTTGGCTGTTTAGAAGTATGTTGAAGAGTAGTGATTAAATTTATATTCTCTGATATAAATTTTGATTTTTTCTGGATTTTAATTTTTATTAAACAAATATGGATAGTGATAGTGACAGTGCTGATAGTGGAGGTGAAGGAACCAGTTACGGTTTAAAAAAGAAGATGAAATACAGTCAGTCCTACAAATCAGATTGGGAGAAAGAACCACGCTTCACAGGTTGGCTTATTAAAAGCCAAAACGGGAAAAATTTTGGATTCTGCAAGGCATGCAATAAAGATATTAATATATCCAGTGGAAAGGACTCACTTATAAAACATACACAGCGAAAAATCCACGAACAAAATGTAAAATCTATCAAAAATCAACCGTCCATGACTAAATTTGTTACAGACACAAAAAGGAGGCAAAGGGCTCAAGACACCAAAGAAGGTATACTTACGTTTTTCTATTTGGTAATTCCCAATGATTGATGCACTTATGTGCAGTACCTGTTATAAAATGTAGTACAAGATTCATTACAATGCTCAAAATATATTTTCTATTGGATGTCGGAATGCTACTGGAAGCTCTCTTTCCTTCCTCCAGACCCATCACGTGACTTTCTCCACCTTTTGTCTTAAGGTGCATCCAGACTATATAACATGTTGTATAACACGTCCGCACTGTTCAACATTGTTGTATAAAATTGCATCATTTAACAATATGATATAGTACTACGTGCATCGATCATTGTAACATTATAATTGTGGCAAGGTTTTTTTATTCTATTCCATCATTTTTTTGCTGAGATACGGCTGGCGGCGTTTGTAGCTGAACATAATCTTCCATTTACCGTTATGGAGCATTTGCCTGATCTAATAAAAAATACATGTTCTGATTCCGAAATTGCTCGTGGTTTGGCTTCTAGCAGAACCAAAACAACGTCGATTGTAAAAAATGTAATTGGCCAGGAAGAATTTTTGAACGTTTGCGAAGATCTAAGGCAAAATAAGTTCTCATTAATAGTAGATGAATCGACGGATGTTAGCACCACTAAGCATCTTTGTTCCGTAGTGAGGTATCGAAAAAATAATGTAATAAAAGACAAATTTTTTGCTCTATTACCTTTATCAAATGCTGATGCAAAAACTTTATATAACGTTGTTATAGACCTTTTTAAAACTAACAATATTCTGTATAAAAATAATTTAATTGGATTTTCTGCGGATGGGGCTAATGTCATGATGGGCAAAACTAATTCATTAATGGTACTTTTAAAGAAAGATATTCCTTTTTTGTTTGTGATGAAGTGCATATGCCATTCATTCCACCTTTGCGCTTCTTACGCTTCACAAAAAATACCAAGGTTTGTCGAGGATCTTGTGAGGGATATTCATAATTATTTTAATTCTAGCCCAAAAAGAATTTCAGAATTCCGTGACTTTCAGGCTTTTTGTAACATAAAAACACATAAAATTCTGCACCCATCACAGCCTAGATGGCTTTCTGTTCAAAGTGTAGTAAGTCGTATTTTAGAACAATACAATCCATTAAAATTATACTTTACTGACGCTGTTTTCCAAAATGATGTTTTAGCTACGAATCAAATTTTGAAAAGGTTAAACGACCCTA